GTAATTTTATCTTTGCGTTTTCGACATTTAAGATAGGCAATTGAATGTACAAAGTTCGATCATTAACTGCACGGTACGGTATTGTATGGTGAAAAGTTGAAAGATATCAGGTAGTTCCAAATAATCAAATAAGATTTTCTCACAGTACTACTAATTTCCGATCTCCCAAGAAACATATATTTTAACATATAAGAAAATTTAACAAAAAACAAAAAAAAAAAAAACAAATGCTCAAGAAAATATGCAGTAATGTCTTAAGAATAGAAGAGATTCACTTTGAAATTTTATCAATAATCATAAAGATATCATAAAGAAATTTTTCAGCACGTTAGCTGATTGAAGTTTTTTTTGGACAAAGATGCCACTATTTTGGACAGAGTAACCATAATGAAAGTAACAGTGCTAAAATAAGATTTAAACACAATTAAATGGTGACTCTTCACATATAATAAGAGTTCACTTATAAGACATGATCCTCTATTGTGCTATCATGAAAAGCTTCCAAACCAGGCAAGCGGATTACAAGTATTTTGGACAGAGATGCTATTATTTTGGACATGGATGCTACTATTTTGAGCAAAGATGCTACAATTTTCAACCAAGACCCCATATTGTCATTTTGAAATAGTATATACATAGTTTAAAATTGTGGTTAACTTTGATCATAATAACATTACATATTATATATAAAACAAGAAGTAGTAATGAAGTATACCGAAACGAAATATTCTGCATTAAAAGAGGGTCTAACCTTTTATACTGACGGCTCCAAAGTATATAGTGATATAAGCATTAGAGTTTTCTCAGAGGACAAGTCTTTATATTTATAAAATTATATTAAATAAATTATTATATTATAGGCTTTTGATCATTACACTGTGTTTCAGTTGGATGTAATCGCTATTCGGAAAGATATAGTTTAGGATAGGATTTTTTAAACGTGCACTCCAAGTTGTAAACATATTCCAAATATATTTCTACATATTTACATATGTAAATACAAATGAGATTTCTATGTATATATATATTTTTAAACGAAATATCGACGCAGTTTAACATATCGTCACTCTGGGTTCATGTACATTGAAATATTTTCGGTAACTGCAAGGCAGACGAGATACTTTAGGTAATCATTCGGAACACCTGAAGAACCTGGGCATATCGCTGATATCATACAAATACTTGTTGAATTCTATCTGTGTTTAGCAACTTAATACAAGATGGACAAGGGGACAATGTGCCAATAAGTCTTAGTAGATCTTTAGGATCCTCGAGAAACCTTAACCTAACCTATGTAGTATTTTTAATTTTTAATTATCTCTATTATTATAAAATTACTAAAGTCATATCTTGTAAATAAAATTCTAAACATTTAATGAAACCACAAAAAATCACTTAAAAACCAATGTTACTATGATATTGGCAACCCTAATATTGTATTTAAGCGTAGTATCAATTTCCTTTATAATTGGCGGTAAAACTCACATTCTACCCAACCAACTCATAAACAAAAGCTGACTGGAAAATCTTTTCATAATTTGTGTCATAATGTCGACGTCGTTATAAAATGTCTGAGAAATATAAAAATAAAAAATAGAGAAAAAAAATTTTAATAATAAAGAAAGGGCAAAATGATATATACAAACAAACTAAAGAAAAACCGCGATCATTATTAAAGATCAGTTTTTCCCCTCAAAAGTATTTTTATTGAATTTGTATCTTTTTTTTCTTGCATTGATATTTTGTATCTTTTATAGTTGTATTTATTATATTGTCTTTCTTCTTAGTTCATTTGTCTACAGTAATGGCGAAGTGATGTAGCAGTTGTTGTGAGATTTGTTGTTGTTGTTGCTATTAATATTAATAATTTTTCTTTTTATTTATTGTTTAAATGACACTAATGGAAAAAACAAACACATGTAATTAACAAAGTCTAAGTAGCGCATTTAAAGATAAACTTTTCTTCTTTTGTATCTCAAAGAAAACAGTTCAGAGTGAGAAAAAAAAACTGAAGTTGAATAAAAAATGAGCGCACAAAAAGCGCACTTTTCTTTTTCAGATTCCCTCACCAGTTGTTGAATACTCATTTATTTCACTCGTATGCACTTCTTAATAATATTAAAAAGGGAAAATTGTTGTATAGAAAGAAAAGATAAAATACTTGCATCTGAAAAATGAAAAAAAAATGGAAATAAAAATGAAAATAGTGCAGAAAAAAAGATGCAGATGAAGTCATTAAAAACGGCAGCCAAAGTGATAAATTGTGTATAAAAAAACTCTAGTTTTTCCTTATATGAGTGTTTGTTGTTGTTTCTCTTGTCATTCTAAAGTCAAGTACTTGTTGATGTTGTGGCTGTTGTATCCATGATATTTGCTGAGATACAAAGATACGAAGATATGCTGCTGCTGCAGTGTGTAAGAGATCAGAACGCACAAGATCAATGGCATTTTTGACATTTTAAACAAATCAGAAGGTCACAAGTTTGCAAATAAAAAGTGCGTTGAAAAATTTTGCTAAAGAGTTTTACTGTTAAGTACGAACGGAACGTAGCTAGTATGAAATATGTCTAGACAGGAATTTGTATGGTTTATGAGATAGTATCTAATTTAGTATGGAACTCAAGTTCAGTTATTTTGGGGAAGAGGTGTTGTTTGTACTTAATATATGATCCAATTAGTAAAAATTTTAATAATTGTATTTTGGTAGTTGTGGGTTAAACAAAATTAATTGAATTAAATTTTAAGCATAAACATATTATACTTATATTTGGGTAATTTGAATTGTAACCTAGAGATCTACTGTGTACCCCACATCGACTTAAAGTCTCTCTTCAAGTCTAACTTTAACTTGTAGTGTAGAATCAACATTACAGAGTTGTATTTCTTTATACGATATAAGATACTCATCTATAACTGTGGCTAAAATTATTCTGAATTTTAAAGGCTTAAATGAACTAATATACACGAATCTGTAAAAAACAAAGGGCTGCTCAGCTCAGCTGAACTTTTCAATAAGCATCATGCAGTAGCTGTTGAACACCGAACTCAAAATGAAACCCTTCAAATTTCAAAAAAGCAAGACAACCGATTTTCGAAATATAATCGGGTATTGCATACTCCAACCGGATACTGTGATTCAAAGAACAACAGAGGTGTCAGGCCTGCCTCACTCTCAAGCTGGAAACTATAATCAAACGTTTAGCTTCAATTGGTACCGGCGGAATATCTAGGACTATTAGTAAGGGCGTTTATTAGCGCATGCTATGAATACTTGTGTTAAGAACACCGTATTATTAAAAAAAACGATAAACGAAAATGTGTTTTTAAATAATACTTAAATACTTAAAATATCGCAATTTGTTGACAATATTTCTGTTTCAACAAATCTAAATATTTTAAAAAATTTAAATATTTTCTACAGTTGAATAAACTTGAATGCTTTAAAATTGATTTACTGATATTTTGACCTACAAACACGTACCTTTTAAAACCCTTAACCCTTTCGTACGACCCGATTCATATCCTTTCTGTTACTCTCTTTTGTGTGTTATTTTATAAAAATAACGTAATGCCAACAAAGTTAAACAATTTTAAACGAATTTTCAACACAATCAACAAATCAAACTTCATTTTTCAATAAAAGTAAATAAATAATACAAAAAAAAAAAACAAAAAAAATAATGAAAACCATTCAAAGGAAGCAAATTTGACAACTAAACAAATAATAAACCAAATTGCCAAACTTTATACAATTGAAGGCGTAAAAATTGTCTTGTCAATATTATAATGATATAGCTAAACCTTTTTAGTCCTTTTTTTATACAACAAAAAAAAAAATTTAGAAAAAAAATAAAATCAAAAAATCCTTCTCAGAAAAAAATTCTTCTGAAAAAAATATCGCAACGAGCTTTACAAATGCGGGCAATTGGAAGGAAAGGCAAGGAAAACTGAAGACTGTGAAAAGTAGGGTAGACACAGTCTTAAGAAAAACCACAAGAAGTTTTTTTTGTATTTTAATTTTTTTCCATTGTTAAATAAAAGGGAAAATCCCTTGTAGCCGAGAGAAGTCAAAGTCAAAAGTCCGTTGATTTCCGCGTAAAACAAAAAGCAACACATTCGTTTGCCTTTTTTCCGGCATTTTATCTGCCGCTACTCTTTTCTTCCTAACCTAAAATGTTTCCCGTAATTTTACAGCTACTTTCTGGGTACTAGGATTTTTTTTTCTACTTAGCTTGGAAAGTTGTTAAGTTGCAGGAAAAAAGTGTTTTTCAATTGTGCGTAACTGCTGCACGTCCTTTTGGCTTGGCTTGACTGACTGAGTCAAGAAATTTGCTTGGTTGGCCTTCTTTGCTGTCTGCGGTGGTCTAGTCGTCGTATCTTAACGTTTTACATTTCATTGAGCTTTTAGCAAATAAAAAGCGTTTAAAAGATGTTTTCATTAAATGCGGTGTGAGGGTGTGACTAAAGGACTTTTCACCTTTTTTTCAACTTGTAGCTGATAGCATATCAATTACAGTTTGTTTGCGTAGGCAAAAGCGATTTTACATAATTTTTAAAATGTAAATAATACTTGGGAAAAAATGGAGAAAAAGATACTTTGTTGCAACGAAATGACTTAATTTTTGAGGGAATAACTTGAGGCGCAGGAGGATGCGAATTAGAAATTTTTAGCATTGCTACAGGATATTAAAATCTTAATAATAATATAAGCCTTTAAAAGACTGAAGCATTAATTTAATTATTTGATTGGTTTTTCAATAAAGAAAGATTTGTATAAAGTCTTAATTAGTACTTAACAGACACGTCATATTTTGTATATTGAAACAGATGCTTAATTTAGTGTTCATTAAGTACATTTGAAAAGTGCCTAATTACGTTCTAGCATGTACTGGCTACTAAAATTCGTTAATTTTTTTTTAAACAATTATAAAAAATTATTTATTATTATAAAAAAAATATAATAATATAAATATATTAAAAAAAATTTCGTAAAAACATACCTTCTTATCTTTGGCAGCTAATAATTCAGCATGATTGCTTGCATTCATTGTTGTATCAACATCGATGCTATTGTTTCTCCCACTTTCAACGCCGGCAACATGTTGCTGAAGGTGATCATTATCCATATTATCACCTTCATGTAAACTTTCGGTTGTTTGATTGCAACCAACATTCGAACTATTCGCACTAAAATTATTATTATTTTTGCTATTACTACAACTATTATTGCTACTATCGCTACTGCTAACATTTAGGCTATGTTCATCAGTTCTTTCTAGACAATTGTCTTCAGCATCAATATCATCATCATCAACATTATGATCAACAATATCGCGTACACGCTGTTCCGCAACATTATCTAATATATCATTGTTGTCCTCATTGCTGGCAACAATTTGATTTTTTGTCGTGTTATCCTTAACTAATTTTGATATATTCATCTCAGCGGTTAGTGTTGTAATCAATTTACTGGCATCGGTATTGGTTGAGTGGGTATTGGAATTGATATTGCCATTTTCTTCGGCATCAAGATTTTGTTGCATAGGTGAATGCATTGGTGATTGTTGTTGCTGTACAGCGGCGGCTGCAGCTGCAGCAGCGGCAGCAGCAGCAGCTTCCATCATCATTTGCTGTGCGTGATTGAAGAAGAGTTTTGGATTAAGACAACCTCCGTTGACACCGTTGAGGGTGTTTAATTGATTTGAATTTGTATTGCTAATGCCACTATCGGAGAGTGGTGGAGATGGTGATGGTGTTGTTGCTAATAAATTACCACCGTTTTGATGTAATGTTATTGCTGCAGCAACGCTATTCAACAATTTTGTATTATTATTTGCAAAATTGTTATTGTTATTGAGTGTTGTTGGTGAAAGTAATTTACTATTTGGTGGGATTGTTGTAATGGTTGCGTCTGTTGTTGAATCAATCGAATTTGCTGTTGTTGTTGTTTCAGTTATATTGCTATTCGCTGTTGTATTCTCGTCAGCTGTTGCTGTTGTGTTGGTGGATAATTGCTCCTTGAGTGTGTTCACTTCCTTTTCGGCCAAGGTAGCTCTCTAAAAAATTTGAAAAAAAATTTATTAATTAAAGAAAATTTTGTTATAAAAACGATCAGTAATTGAGTGAACTGAATTAATAATCAGTTAATAATTTATAAAAAAATTATATCACTAATAATTATTTAAAAGTAATAAGTGTAGACATGACAAAATAATATATCATCTTGAGAACTGAAGAATTATTAATTTATACAAAATTAATTTTAAAATAAATTTTTAGTAAAGATATTCAACAATAAAATTTTTATATTTAATTATTAGTATATTTTGGTGGACATCAAATACCGTTTTTTCCAGTATTTTTATATACCAATATTAATCATATATGAACATGTGTCTTAATGTTAGATGAAATAAATTGATTAGTCGAGGACTTCCTTAATAATTATATGCTATTAATTAAGACGTATTTGCCACAATAGATACTTCATTATCTCATTGTAATAAGTGTCTATTCAGACACTTACACCGCAACAGATATTTTATTATCTTATTGTAATTAGTACTTATTTAGGCATGTACGCCACAACAACTATTTCACTATCTCACTGTAATTAGTATTTATTTAGCCGCAATTAAACACGACAAAATGTACTTTAAATCTGTATATCGTATATAACAACAATCTATACATCAGTGATCTTTCGAAATAGCTCATTACTTTATTAGTCCCTATTTTATTTTACAGTACTGGGCTTAGAATTTTGTAGCCGTCGAAATTTTGGTAAAATAAAAGTTTTTAATTTAGATATTATATATTATTCTCATATCTTAAAATATATTTTAAATAAGTTTTAATATATAAATAAATTTAATTTGATATGTGGAATATTTTAATATAAAATTTAAAATTTAGTACTATGTCCTTTAGATTTCTAGAAATTTTTTCTCTTATTTACACATATTTTTTTTTATTTCCTTACTTTTCAACATTAATAGTTTAAACTATTAAAAACTATTTATTTAAAACCTAAACTATTCCATGCATACACATATATTCGTATAAGCTCCGTTTGAATTAGAACATGTTGTGGCTTCAAAGCAAATACCTTTTCCATACTACTCGTATCCTTTAGTAAACTTTTCTACAAACAAAAAGTGTGGTGTAATTGTCCTTTACAATTTAATATTTTTTGCTATAACTTCTCTGCTACCTTTGGTATAACGATTTTTGTAGACCCTCATTAATTTTACTTTTAAAGTCATTACGGGTTAAATTGAGCCAAATTAATACATAACAACTATTGCCTTAGAAGTATATTTATACTGGAGTATCCTTAAATATATCCATTGTTGTGAGCAATTTACAAGGTTTCCTTCCCCTCCATTTTTTTCTTTTGCTTGAATTGCAAATACATTTTAATGCCAAAACTTTTGCTTACCGCTGGGTTTTAAATTTATAGTTTATCGTTTATATCGATAAGCCAACTAAAATTTTGGGTACTATTGGTACAGGTCGTGCCTTCGTAAATGGGGTGCCGAATAGTTAACAGTATATGGTATGGTATACAAAAAAAAATCAAGGAATGGCCATGGTGGGAGTTTATTTTTGGTAACTTTTGGCAAATTAGTCTGGCAAATTTTTTGTTTTATATTTTCTTATTGGTTTTTTATTAAAAAATATTGTTTGATTATTGGTAATGTTTCGGAAAATTATTTGTGGAATAAGGCCGGAAGTAATGAGCTTTCGATTATATCGTAAATAAACAACTAAAACTAATTGCTAAAGTTATAACTTTAACGTGAATTGTTTATTTTAATGCAAAGAAAGGAATACATTGTGGCAGTCTTAGACTGTAGGATATTAATACAGTAACAACTTGATAATCCAGACAATTATTGCCAATGGTTTAACTAATAATGGTTTTTGGCTTATGCGACTAAAAATTTACAGCAAAATATAAAATACATCGTAATAGGCAGTAAAATAATAATACAGTAGTAGCTCATTAATACAGACAATTGTTGCAAAATGATTTTAATAATATTGAGGCCTTTAATTATTCTTCCCATGTCTGTATATATAACATAAGAGAGTGACAGAGAGAGAGAGAGAGAGAGGAGAGGAGATTGAGGAGAGATAGAGAAGAGAGAGAAGAAAGAGAAGAAAGAGGAGAAAGATAAGAAAGAGAAGAGAGAGGGAGAGAAGAGGGAGAAGAGAGAGAAGAGAGAGAGAGAGAAGAAAGAAGGGGGAGAGAAGAGAGATAGAGAGGGAGAGACAGAGAGAAGATGGAGAGAAGAAGGAAGAGGGAGAGAAGAGAGAGAGAAAGAGAAGATACAGAAACAGAGGAAGAGAAAACAGACAGAGAGAGAGGGAGAGAGAGCGAGAGAGAATATATATAATGTCATAAATACATATTATATATTTCATACAATGTCTTTTTCTAAGAAGTTTATCATTTACCTATCTAAAATTTGAACTTTCCAATAAATAGCTTAATTTATACTTTAAATTTTCATTAGACTATGCATATGAAATACTGCAAATATATATTATCATTTTTGGTGGTTTTTTAAAGAAACTCCTTCCTTATTTATTAATTGAAAATTTGAACTAATTTATTAGCTAGAACTTTATAAAATTTTTTTTTTAAAGAATATATAATGAATATATAGAATATAAAGAATATATAATGTCAAAAATATATATTATATTTTTTGGACAATTTTTCTAAGTGACTCTCCATTTACTAATCAAGAATTTTAACTATTTTATTAGCTAGCACTTTATAGACAAAAAAAAATTCTTAAAAATAGCTTAAATCATACTTTAAATTTCCATTTGACTGCTCCTTCCAGTTGGCCAACTCTTTCAAAAAAAAAATGCTCCAAAAAAATCAAATCACTTTAGCCATCATCTTTTGTATTGACAATCACACACTGAGGGAGAGAGAGAAGGAGGACTATATAAACTGCATGCAGTCACACAGAAAAACAAACCCAGATAATTTCCTTTTCGTCTTCGTGGTCGAACTTGTAATCTTCTGATTAAACATTATCGACTTTGGGAATGACAACACAAGTTGTCGGAAAACAAATAAACGCGAGGAGCTCGTTGCGGCGTTCTACCAATGTCCTTCAGGCTATTTTGAGTACAGCGGAATAATGAAAAACCAAACGCGTACCAGAATCTTTAAAACTCTTCAATAACGACAACAACACCAACAACAACAATATGAGTAGCATCAACAATGGCATCATCTTCATCATCATCGTCGGTATAATTGTCAGTGTTTGATACGTCATCATCAATGTCGTTGCAATGGTATTAAAAATCCATTTTACCGTTTTTACCGAGCAGTCATTCCTCGTAGTTAGAATTTTGTGTGTGTGAACGAGTAGTCTTTGTCGCCAACATTGCGCTGACAATAATGCCCAGCCGTGTTGCTTTGACAGGATATGGAAGGATTCTTATGGTGTATCCTTAGTTGATGCTTGTTGGTCGCTGTACGTTGATGATTTTGTTCATTTCTTTGTACTCTTTGCTTTTTGCTATATTTCAAACTTTTTGTCTGTTTGTATGTGGGCATGTCGTAGCCTGCAGTTATATTTGTCATCATAAATACTTTTCGCGTATAAATTTATAATATTTAAAAGCTCTTAGGATACCGAAGGGTTGCAACTAAAGACAAATGCCAGACGTTGTTGTACTTTGTTTTGCTTAAGCTTGAAAATTATTTTTATAATATTTATTATTTCCATTTTTTTTCCTTATATTTTGTTGTATTTTGAATGAATTTGAATTTACAAGGTCCTTTGTGCGGGTTGGACTATTTGTTTTTTTTTTGTGTTTTGTTTTTTGACTACACTTAAGCCAGTAAATACTTGAAAATCGATTATTATACCATTTAATAATTCATAATTGCTGCATTAAAAAATATTTTAAATAAATATACCACAATGTTTACCCAATATTGTTGATTCAAAAAGCTTTAAGGATTTAAGTTCTTACTTTTGTGTTTGCATATTTTCGATTTAAGTTTTTGGATCCTTTTTGGTTACCTTTAAGTTTCGAGTAAGAGCTAAGGTAACAAGAAAATTGAATACATATTTAATTTTATTACTTATAGTACTTTAAATACTATTCTCCGAAACAAAACTGTCCTTATATTTATGAATTTTTTTGTCATAATAATGTTTTTTCTTTTGTCTCACTAAAAGGAATACAAAGAATGACTCGACGTTTGTATCTTTGGCACTTGTTGAAATTCAATCCCCGTGAGAATGAATGCACTTGTTGAAGAAAATTTTTCAAATTTTGGCAGTTTTGGTAGCAGGCAATGACGGTCTTGCTGCTTTCTTGTTATAGGTTTAATACAGTAGAAAGTATTAAAGTTTGGCATATTATTAGGTAATTTATAAACAAAAAATAATTTTCTTTTACATAGAACTGTATCTAATACTATTAATTAATAGTGATATAAACCTTTCAATTTTGACCGGGTTGAATAATTAGCAGTTAATTTTATATATTTTATAAACGGTCCAAAAATTATTTCGAAGGATCACTGTTGAAATGTGTTTGGTTGTATACGAAACGGCTATATAGGAAGCCCCTTAATTTCATTAAAAAACAGCTATTGGATCAGTCCAAAAATTTATTTATAGGTTATATGCTTACTTTAAAAATTCCTTTAAACAGTTATGTGTCTAGTTTGAAAATTCATTTAAGTAAAAATCAATTTTAATATTTAAATTTTTAAAATATTTAAAAAATTCATTAAAACAGCTATTGGGTCAGTCCATCATTTATTTAAATAGCTATATGGATAGTCTAAAAATTCTTTAATTTAAAATATAATTTAAATAGTTAAATGTGTTGTATAAATTTATTAAAACAGCTATTGGGACAAGTTAAAAATTTATTTAAATAGCTATAGGGACAGTCCAGCCTTATTTTAAAATTAATTTTTATAGTTAAATTTGTTCCAAAAACTTATTAAGACAGCTATTGGGACAGTCCAAAATTTATTTTTAAAAGTCATATGGACAATCCAAAAATTCCTTTAATTAATAACTAATTTTTACAATTAAATTTGTTCCAAAAACTTATTGAAAGAGCTATTGGATCAATCCAAAATTTATTTAAATAACTATAGGGACAGTTCAATACTTATTTTATTTAAACACTAAATTTTATAGTTAAATTTGTTCTAAAAACTTATTAAAACATGTATTGGGTCAGTTTAAAATTTATTTAAATAGCTATTGAGCCAGTCCAAAATTTATTTAAACATCTTTTTGGACAGTCCAAAAATTTCTTTAAACAGCTATATGACCAGACCAAAAAATCATTTAATTAAAAATTAATTTTTATAATTAAATTACTTTATTATTAACCACTTTTCTATCCCAAATAGAGACTGTCATTGGATTAAAAATATTAATTAGGTACATTGAACTTTCGTTTACCTTTCTTTTACCTTATTTATTATAAGAACCAGCATTCATAAGAATAATAAAGGATATCAATTTTAAATTGCTTTTGAAAGAAATTATTTCCGGGTATCAAAGCATTTCCTATCTATTTTCTACAATCAGCGAACTTTTATACAACAACGTCCATTGATAAAAATCTATCATTTTCTGAAATAAGTTTAATGAAATATTTGTGGTTTTCCAAAAAGCAAAAATGCTTTAAACTTAAAACATTTCATGGGTTGAATTTTTTTTTCGGTACAAAGGAGCACAACAACAACAGCCAGAAAGGAAAAATCTAAAATAAAAGGATTTTAAGCAATTTTCATAATGACTTATTTAACATAGCCGCTACTCCTTCCGTCATACCATCAGTAACAACTCATCAGTAACTCAGCGACTCGACAACTTCATCGGCATCCACAGCTATAGCTATAGCCATATAAGGAGCATGAGGATGCCGTTTCTGTATGCTTTTAGTTGATACTGACCAAAATCTTTTTGAACATTTTTTAACAAATCAATTAATGTGAAATATTTTTGTATGTTTTGCAATTTGAAAAGCGTAGTGAATCCAAATGAGTTAATTAACTAAAATGCGGGTGGATTTTATTTTTGTCTGCTATGGATTTATTTTATTTTATTTTTGTTTTGCTTTTTTTGTTGTTGGTTTTGTTAATTCACTATAAGCAAGGATGTGTTTTTATATGTCCAAAAAAAAGAGGATAATAGAAATTCAGTATTTTTTGGACGTATTCAATGGAGCTTAAGAATTGCTGTGGAGTTTT